TTTATACACACACACACACACACACACACACACACACACACAAACTTATATAAGAAAAAAGAAAAAAGATAAGATAGGCAAAACGAATTTAACAAGAATTTTGACTTATGTAGTCAAGTAGAATTGTGAATTTTATTTGGTTGGATTTTTTCCAAGTATTCATAAATTTGTTCCTAACAGAATGAGAAAAAGTTGTTTTGGTTGGCAGTGTTGTCCATGGAGAGTAGGTTCAAGTGAGATCAGATTGACAAAAGAAGTGTTGCAGCATCACAGTGCAAGCCACGTCCTTTCATAGGTGTGTCACAATATCACACACGTGTACAAAAGGGCAGAGCTTGACAAAAGCAACAGAATCTTGCCAATGTCACCACATGAGAGAAAATTAAACTGATTCAATTTTTCTGGTTGAGGACTTTGGCCACTCTAGCCAAGTGTATTTGTAACATGTAATGCCGGTGCTGAATTATTTTTCTTAAGAGGCAACTACTACATATGGGAGGCAGGTAGAATATGGAGTTGTCTCCATATTGGGAATCCTTATACTTCTTCAATTTGACTGGTAAGAATGAGTATTTTTTTCTTACACAGCATGGAAGAATTGAAATTAAACAAATTAAATTGGGAAGATTGAAAACTGTTGGATTTGCTTATCCCAAATGCTTGTTTTTTTGTGGGGGAAACATTCTACCTTAATGAAAGAATTTAGGAGGTATTCAGTTCAGGGCAGAGTGAGCCCGAGAAACAATAAGGAAAGGAAATCTAGGGAGGACCCTCTCATGCCTAAAATGCATGCGATACATTTCTGCAGACAAAACCAAGAGACAATTACACCTTAGAAGACTTATTAATTTGTTTTCACATAAAATTGCAAGAACTACAGATCTGTTTTTTCATCATCCTATCCTAATTTAGCTTTCAGGTAAATATGGTAGCACTGAATGACTGAAAGTGAATGACAAATTTCCATGGATTTATATAAGCACCTTGTGACTTTAATTTAGTACTTGAAAGTACATATCATGGCATAGTAATGGAACATTTGATAACTTAAACTGCCCTGGAAATAGGGATTTCCTTAGCCAAACAGTTCTCTGAGTAAAATATGTTAAAGATATTTGACTGACAATTAAATACTTAAACTATTATTTCAGGAAATATATTTATCAACTGTAAATAAAACCTCATCTTGTTCTAAACAAATAAACAAACCTATGCTAGAAGAACCCATTTTTAAGAAGTATAGATTTGGTGTTTGTAACAGCTACAGATATTTGAGGTTATTTAGTCTCCAAGTCAGAGTATCATTCTTCAGTTTTCATCTTTCTTCAATTTCTGTAATTTGGTTCTTGCCTCAGAAAATATGCCAACATGCATTTAAAGTAAATATTTTGGGGAAAATGCATTTAGAAATACAAACATTTAAATAAGATATATATTTTATGCAGATCTTTAAGCATACACTGTACATTACATGTACAAAAACAGAACTTTGCAATTTGGGGCGAGAGTGTGCACAATCATAAAATAGCAAATGAACAAGCATGTGCTTGGATTCCTGAAATTATGTTGTTATAAATTAGAAGCATTACAAACTGTCTTTCTGAAGTTCAGTTTATACCTCTAAACAAGCCAGTTTATGACTTGGCCATGGTGTATTTATTTGGATGATTTCTACATGTTAGAGATCTGAAGCATTATGTTTTGCCCTCTCAGAAAGTGAAGCATTCTTTCTCACAGTGCACAAACTGCTAGAGAAATAGAATGTGCCACAACTTTTTTCTTAGAAAATATGTATGCAAATCATGGTCTTGAGAGAAAAAAGAAGGGAACTGGTTCAAGAGTTCCATTCTACAAAGTTCCTATGGTTTTACCTCAAATTGCTGGATTACAATCTTTCTGGATAGTCTTTTTATGCTCAAAGAGCTTTTTATGAAAAGAATAGTACGGTATATTGGAGATTTGTATCTTCAGTGAAAAGTACTTTTTTCTTAGAGCACAAGACATTGGTCTTGTTAGATGGGAAGACATTTCACAATTTTATGAGGACTATAAGCACATCTTGAAAACATTGCCTCAAGGTGTAAAGAAGGAGAAAATTAAAGCCATTTCTGAAACACTCTGCCAGGCCTCTTCCAGAAAATGAATTGAGAGCTTCTCTTGATTATTGGGAAAAACAAATCCTTAATGGCTAGAAATAGCTTTAGTACTCACATCACAAGGTCTGAACAATTAGGCTAATGCCTGTGCCGAAAATTCCTATATGAAGGAACACAAAAAGAGCTGCTTATAAGAACGAAGAAGTACTATATTACAGCTCAGCAATTTTTTTTTCCTGAAATATGATGCATGATTGCATTACCTATTATGTAAACGTGGTAGATGTGCCTGTGGTCTTTTGTGCATCTGTGTCCTGAGAACATGACTACATTTCCATCCTGTTGATTTTGGTAGATTTTTTTGTTTTGTTTTGTTTTGTTTAACTTTCATACAGACTTCCATTCTGCTTAGTGTTTTCTTATTCATGGCTGTTTTGAAGTAAGCCCGATTGAGTTCAGTGGGATCCATATAGCCTCAGTTATATGGATATAGGATTATAGCCTAAGAGGTAATTTTGAACATTAACAGCACAATCTAATGCACATTTGCTCTGAAATGGTCCATTTCATTCTTGGGACTTCCTCCTAAATAAATGAGTATGCAGTTTCAGCTCTTTAAAAGAAAAAAAGAAAAGGAACATTCATTCCCTTAAAATATAAACAATATAAACTTTTAATGAATTAAAATTACTCAGTTCAGCAAAAGTTTCCTTCCATCACTTTTTTATTTCATTTGAAAACAGCAATGACAACCTAGGTACATTTCCTAGGAATCAACGACCTGTTGAGATTAACAGCTCGTCGTTGTGCCTTAGGTGATCAAATCTTCCTAGCCAGTCATTAATCCAAAATAAATATCCTGTCCCTCGCTTTTCACTGGCTTGCAGAAAGTTTCAGTAAAGAATTAGTGTCTTGTAGAGTTAGAAAGAAAAAACAACACAAGAGAAAAGGCTGTAAGTGCTGTTAGTGCTAAAGTAAGTGTTTGCTCACCTAACAATAATGGGAGAAAAACATAAAACCATGTAATAGTTGTCTCTGGCTGTTTTAGGATTAGCTAGAATTGCTGATAACTCTGGCTTACCAGAATTACT